AGTGTTCTTGCTGAGAAGGTGACCGTTTTGGGTGCTTTCAGGTCATGTTGCAAAGCCAGGGACCTAGTATTGCTTTCTGATCATTATCCAGGGTGGCGAGCTGATTCTTCAATGCCCAGGTTCTCAAAAACCACATCGGGTTTTTCCTCTTTCGGTCCACTAAGATCGTTCGTCTCAACCGCTTGCAGACTTGCATTTCTAGTTGTCCTTTGCCTGGTAGTTCCTTTCTGAATAGGGCACAGTTTCGAGACTGCCAGATCACACTCATGATGATTCCCCTACAGGCTTGTCCTATGTATCCCCATCCAGCCTCATAATCCTGTATCTGGGGGCTTATCCCTGTTTCAGTCCATTCTTCTGTTCAGGGGAAGGCCTCTGCAGAGAATTTTGTCCAGTGCTTTCTCCACCACTGCCACATTCTCAGGGAGAAAAGGCAGTGGATCCACACATGTAAGGTCGTTTCCCATGCCCAGGAGCATCTGGAGCACACTTGTGGTACTTCCATATGCTTCGAGGTTAACCACTCAGAAGGTACTACACGAAGGGACTGCATCCAAAGGAGGCTAGCAAATATTTAGTAACTTGTCTTCAGTAATCTGCTGTGTGGATCTGTCTTTCCGTTTTATAGTAGCAATGGAAGTTGGTTTTTTAAGTGACTGATCTCTCTGTATTGCTACCCCTAATTTGGACTTGTAGAGGGTCATGGGTTCCATAAAGCCTCCCTGATTCTTGTTTCTCCAACCCCGGAAGAAAGACTCTACCGTGTCAGTATGGATCTCACTTCCTAACACACATATTTCTTTCCCCATCTTGTCGAGTTTGGACCAGACTCTTACCTCAATCATCTCGTCCCAGTCTTGATCTTGTTGTATGTGTTTTTCCTCTGCAAAGCTTAGCTGGCTGATCTGTGTGGTTGCTTTAGTAACTGCCCATCTTTGTACCCTGAATCCCGTGGAGGTGTCTGGTCCCATTACTCTCCAGACACTATCTACCTCGCCTGCTCTCTTGAACCACATATTGCAGGTCTGAAGTAAGGGGCGTCTGAGAATGTTCACCCAATCTTCTGGAATTGCTGCTTTTAATAAATCCAAATTTCTCTGAATATTGCGTAGTCTCGGTAGTCTAGCTTTTAGGGCGTCTAATAATACCTAGTCTTCCTTCTCTGTGTCCCAGAGATCTCTGATCTGTATTATTCCTTTGGTAACCCAGGATTTCCCAAAGCTTCGCCTTGTGTCCCCTGCATAAAAAAGGTTGTGGTCTGCTTGTTTAAAACACCAGTACTTGGGCAATGCGCGCCGCGCCGGCCGCACCTTTTTTGAAGCGGCGCGGGCTGTCGATACGATTTATCGACGGCCCGCCGGTAGCGAAATTCTCGTAGCGTTAACGCTAAGGCGTCGCCCAAGTACTGGTGGTTTAATCAATGGATTCTCAAATAATGGTTGAAGGAGAACTCCCGACTTTGTGGATGGGTTCTCCCTGATGTCTGGTGATATCTTGCTCCACGCGGAGAGTAGATTTCTCCACAGCCTACTCTTGGGTCTCTTCCTTACAAAGGTGGGGAGGTCTAGGCATCTCCAAACATCTAGGGGGTTTGAGAGTTCCCATTCCGCTGCTAGGATGTATTCCGCCAGACGTTTCCACATCTTCTCTTGTGAGTCGAGCATTCCTTTTACCAGCCATTTAGCCAGTAAAGCTCTGTTTTGCATCTTGGGGTCGAGGATTCTTAGGCCCCCCTGGTCCCTCCTAGTCACAATCGTTTCCCATGCTACTTTATGGATGAAACCCTGTTCGTCTTCAACTTTTGGTTTCCATAGGTATCGTGCTGCTGCTCTGCGAATGACCTTGTATGCCCAGTCTCCCAACAAGTGAATGGTGCAAGG